CAACAATAACTATCAATAATCATCCCATTCCCCCCTTCCCATCCATTCCCTACGTTTAGCACCAGTAAGTTTATTGAATCCAGATGATATGTCCTCAAAATGTGGCATGTAACAAGCACCTAACCATGGATTCGCTCCAGATCCCTGGGAGATTCCACGTCAGGCTGGCTTTACTTTGAGCGTAACGAGGCAGAGGAGATCCATGGCCCGCGATTTTTCAGGGGTGCAACCGCCCAAAAGAGGGGTGCCAAGCTGGCAATATGGATGCGTTTGAGTTCATGCTTGGTATACCATGGCCCACATGGCTATATGGCTAGGTGAATGGCGAACATCATCACCATCCAGGATCCAATAGATTTTGAACGGGGGCCACGGGGGCAGCCTATTTTCAGACAAAGCCATTTGGATTGGTATCCATGCCATAAATCGATATAAATCCTCCAGTGGTTAGACCATGACTTAGTATTTTTGACCAACCATGGTGACTTGGTGGGGATCCCAGATCTTCCCAGAAGCCCCCATATGGGTCTGATTTTTTCCCAGGAAATCAAATTGAGATGGGCGCAGGAGAACGTTGCCGAATCAAGCGGCCAAAGATGATGAGGCGAGAATCGGAATTTGAACCACTGCCGTTGCCGGCAAACCACAAAATCACGCGGCAGGTACAAGTCAAGGACAAAGAGGAAGAAGTTGGAACCTCAACACGTAGCCAGTGTGACTTCGAACAGAACATCCATGTATTGTGGGACGACTTCGAGATGATCCCCAAAATCCAAGAAATGCTTCCGGCAATCTCCAAATTGCATTTTGTGCCTCCAAAGTTTGGTAGACTTCCAGCAGGGTCAAGCGAGTTTGCCTAGAAAATCTTGGTGCAGTTGATAGATCTCCCAATAGATTGGTGTATCATTGCTGGAGATGGGTGGATCTCCCATTTCTATGGCTGGAAATCACCAGGCGGTATCGCATTTGGTCCCGAAAAATTGGGTGATTTCGATCCATCCCAGGCCTTAGACTATGACGTACCTTCCAGGGAGGAGCTGGAACAGCAGCAGATCCAACTTCTTGAGGCCCTGGGAGTGGGAAGATGTGTAGATTCATCGTCTTTTTCAAGGGAAGAAAACAGCAAGGGGCTCGAATTTCGCTTCAAAGTTGAGAAAGTTTTCTGAGATGTTTGCAGATTAAGACTTAAGACAGTCACAAAGAAGTTCAAAGGTATCTTTATCATTCCGGTTTGGAGCTCATGAGGCTCACCATCTGTGTAAGCAGGGCTGGATTTTCGATTCTGTGCCAGATAGTCAATTTTGGAGTGGTGTCTTGAGAAATATCTTTCCTTTTTGTCACACACTTTTTCCTGTTCAAAAACGAGAGGGAACGTTTTCTCAGCTGTACCATAGCTCCATGGTCCAATGGTACAGCTGTTTTGCTTCGAAGGTTGGGCCGTTGGATCATTTGGAAATATTCGGAAGGCCACAGGCGCTTTGGAGCTTCAAAGGAAAGAAGAAGCATTCCAAGCTCGAAAGAAGTGGAGGGAAAAGAACCCCTCACCGTGTGGTGCCTCAAATTGTCAGAGTTGGAAGGGAAGGATGAAGGAATGAACATGAAACATCATGAAACACTTCAAACTTGGGAAGTTGTTCATATTTTTCGCATCTTTTTCACATCCCAACATCATTCCGTTGGTCTGCCATAGGGCACCCCGGTGGCTTAGGTTGGATCGATGGTCGCAAGAAATGCAGGAAGTGCGAAACGACACGTGGGGCTGGCGGATTTCGGGGTGTTCCAATGATGCTTCGGAGCACTTGGCAAGAGTATAAAGAGCTGCACCTATAATGTATATACTGGTTGATGGTGACTGGAACATGACTGGATTATGACTTTCCATACATTGGGAATGGAATCATCATCCCAACTGACGTTTTCTCATTCCATCATTTTTCAGAGGGGTGGCGAAAAACCACCAAGCAGAATATGTAGCTGTAGCAAACTGCAAAAACAGCAAAGTTGCACTGGAAATCATTGGACACCAGCTCATGGGCCCATGGGTTCCAGCCAGGGAGCGGCGAATGTTGTGGGGGGATCTGAAGAAGAAATCTGGAGGTCACAAGCGATACCGTGGCAAAAAGGCGATCCGTGAGGGACACTTTTGGTGGTTTTTTAAGAGGGTTTTTGCGTAAAGCTGTGTCATGAAAAGTGTCATGTCGCAGTAGGAGTTTCCTGTTAGTGTCATTAATCTGTGTCAGTAATCATCAGTAATCATAATAACATATTAATATCATATAATAACAGATGAATAACCGTTTCCTCGGGTTTCCTGGGATTCAGGAAGAGTTTCAGGAGGTCCAAATGATCCAAAGAAATCGTGCGAGGTGGGTGAAGAAGAAGGAAAGATGAAATTCAACCGGGGCTTTCCTTTAGAGGTGCTCCGGATTTCTGGATTTCTGGATTTCGACATTGGCCTAAAATACTCCTGCAACTTTGGTTGCTCAACACATATCATCCCAGACATATCGGAGATGAAGTGGATCTAAGTAAGCACTTAAGATTATTGTTTCATATTGTTTCCATTTCTATAAACAGCATATTCCCATCTATTCCCATTGTTTCCTTTACCCTATGAGTTGAGCTTTGAAAAGCACGGTTCATGCTGGAGCCGGGTCCGGATGGTCAGGACACTGAAGCACAAGAGCGGTCAGATCAAGAGAGAGATAGGAGCCAAGGGGACGAGCTGGTCAAGTTATGATCTTCGCACTTCTCGTTCTTTCGTTGGATTTGATAAAATGGATAATCGATGATAATCGCAAACATATATACAAGCTGGTTGGTGGTTTCAAACATTTTTTATTTTCCATTTCATATATGGGATAATCCTTCCCATTGACTTTCATATTTTTCAGAGGGGTGGCTCAACCACCAACCAGTAATCTTAGTAAAGCAATGTAATCCACCCAGATTTTCATGGTTTATACTAGTTTATACCACCTATTGATGGTAAATTTGTGGGAATGTGGATCCTATTGCTAGAAACTAACCTTGGAGCACTTGTTCAAGATTGAACATGAACCGAAATTATCAGGAAATAATCAATCAACCATGAGAAATACGATGGAAATGGTGATGTAATGAGATTCAGTTTGTATATAATCAAACATTTGATTAAGTGGGATTTAGTATACAACCAATTTAAGGATGGAATTCTGCAGATATAATCATGCATAATTATTGGGATTCAATCAGGTTATAATCAACCATTTGATGTAACCAAAATTCATGGGACGACCGCCCTCTTGTAACTTGACATACTTATGGAAAATGGTTCGTTTATTATGGATGATTTACCTATTAAATTGATGGGTTTAAGTTGACATGCTGTAGTGACATGTCCATTTTATTTACCCAACATGGAACATTTCCCATATAGTTCGATGATTTTCGCAGTCAAGTGCCACTTGATAGTGGATTTCCCAGCTAGCAATGTTTGATTACCGGAGGGTAAATAAAGATCAGAAGTCCTCAGGGTTTCAGATTGACTATGCCCATCGAAGTACATAATCATGATATTACAGATAATCTCATGTTTGGCAATCTCTTGAACATACCTGCCTATTTCGGAAATCTTAGAGTATTTGGAACGGAAAAACCATGAACAATGATCAGAACTCACCCAATGACCTGTGCAGCGCACAGGGAGTGGCTAGACATGTGGCGAGCCAGTTGGCCCGAGGCCGGGGCTTTAAGATTGGGACAATTTTTACGGGAAGCTGAACAAAGAGAAAGGCAGAACAGTCATTGCACTTCTCGTTCTTTCGTTGGATTTGATAAAATGGATAATCGATGATAATCGCAAACATATATACAAGCTGGTTGGTGGTTTCAAACATTTTTTATTTTCCATTTCATACATGGGATAATCCTTCCCATTGACTTTCATATTTTTCAGAGGGGTGGCTCAACCACCAACCAGCAAGCAGAATATGAACATACCATTTGTGAACTTGAACAGCACCTGTTTCATTGGACAGATCCTGGTGGTCGCAGTATATCCTCATGTTCGGTTTGGTATATCTGTATACTTGGCTTGTGGTGACTGTTAAATTTCTGTTGTTGATGCCAAAGGGATCCCCATTCCACATTTTGCCTGGCAAAACATATAGGAAACCGTGGGCGATTTTCATGGCAGTCGACTCCATTGAACTCTCTGAGTCTCTCCTGATCTACCAGATTTTCCAAGCTTTTCCCATTGATTTCCCATGGATTTCCATGGCTTTTCCCCATGTTTTCCCCACATTTCCATGGCCATTTCCCTCATTTTTTCAAAACCGGAGAGGGCCACACCTTGGATCCGCACGACCCGGAATCCTTCGGCTTCGCCTTGGTGGGCACCGTGACGGGTGCACATGGCACCTTGGTGATCCATGGGCCATGGCATGCCATGGGTGAGTCGTGGCACGAGTCTCGTTTTTGGATGAGGAAATTGGTGATGACGAAATCTGCAGATGATGTGAACCCCGTGATAAGGTTGATTTTTTTGTTGATTTTTTGTGACAGAATGTGAAAGAAGATGACATGGGATAGAAACAGTTTTTCTACTGATCCAGTTGGATTTGTCGTTCTCAAAAAGGGAAGACTGCGAGAGACTGCGAGGGATTCTTCAACCAAATACCTCCGGCAGAATGCAGATTCACTTTTGAAAACTTCGCAAATGATGTGCCCATTCGCACAATAATAGACAACATCCTGTTTGTGGATACACACACACACCATTTTATGCACGTGGGAAGCCGGAGGCTCAGATTTTTAAGGGATACCCTTCGCGTATTCAACGCAATTGGAAATCCCCCATTTACCCTCTGGTAATTTAACATAACTATGGAAAATCACCTTTTATAGTGAATTTTCCCATGAAAAATGGTGATTTTCCATACTTATGTTAGTTTACCATAGTTTACCAGAGGGTATAGTTGATTTTCCCATGAAAACCTTCATTATGACCCGCCTGCGCAGGTGTGCATGGAGATGTCCGTGTACGAGCAGATGACTTTCTTTGCGACCAAGGAATCGCGATGTCGGGAGAAACGCCATAGTAAGAGACGACCCTGGAGAGTTCGTGGGTAGATGTAATTCAAAGGATGTTGGTTTCTCCATGTTGCTCCTGCATTTTGGATGATAACATGATAAAAATATGATAAAAACATGATAAAAACATGATAAAAACATGATAAAAAACATGATAAAAAACATGATAAACACATGATAAAAACATGTACACCCTAACTATCCCTAACTTATAGACCCTCTGCAAGGATTTTCAGGAAACCATCGAAAATGACGCCGGTTAGGCTATGACCCTGATGAGCACTTGGCTCGCCGTAACTTCTCCAACTTCACAGAGGATTCCAAACGCGTGAGCCCGGCGGAAGTGTAGCGGATTTTTGGCGCCTCGTTGGGGTGGCATGATTTCCTCTCTACATCAAAATATTCCTCAAATATCAATAAAACACAGAGATTTTGCTTCGGTGTTCCACAGATCCAACTATCATAATCCACTACAATCCACTATGCGAATTCCGTTCTGAATTCTAAATCAACCAGTATGGTGGAATGACATGGGATTTAGATGGATTTAGCACTTCTCCAATGCCAGGTGCACTTGAAATCTCCTCACCGTCGCTTTCCTCGTCCCTTCAGGATTTTTTGCCAACGCGGGAACACAGTGGTGATAAACTGGGAAGAACAAGAAAAGTAGCGTGGTTGGAACATGAATTTTCGTGGTTTCCACATGTTACATCATGTTACCACTCTGGCATATCTGGCATACTTCATGATCATGATGTGGGAGGTGGTTGGATGTGTTTGTGATTCGCTTTTTCTGTTTTTTTTAATGCACAGTTGCAACATTGGTCCCATGGTCCGCCCGGCAGTTTACAGGATCTTGACGGGAAAACGCGCCAGAAACCCAGGGCGCTCTGACCGGCCATGACCGGCCGTAGAGTTCCGGATGGCCAGGGATTGAGAGTGTTTCAAGATGGTCCATGAAGGATATCACTTGTGTATTGATGATTATTGATGTCCTTATGTTCAACAGGATAGTTCTGATGACGATGATGATGATGATGATGATGATGATGTCAGTGTGAATCATATGTTGATATGTTGTTGACCATTGTTGTCCCATTTCGGAAATTTCTCTAACGCAAAGATGTCCACAGACTGATGATGCCATTGCCGTTAGCTCCAGCGGCTCCACATGCTCCACGAGGTCCAGCGTCGCGTCTATGCCCTGCGCTTGCATGGGGTGGAATCACCCGAGGAGGCCGTGGCCCTCCGAGGCTACAAAGTCTTTGTGTTTGGGACCTCAGCGAGATATTGAGATGATTCTATATATATATATACACAGAAATATATATATATATATATTTACACATTATCTAAATTACGTTATGTATATACATATGATTGATATGGCTGTTGGCCTTCCATCTTAAAATCATCAGGTGGGAAGATATTGACTTGGAGCCGATTTTGAGGTTGGAACCGCCCCCAACGGCAGCCGACAAAGCCAAGGAAGATGAAGGAGCTCGGCGACTTGATGTTCGATTCACTGGATTAGTTTTTCAGGAAAATCATGAACATCTACAGGAAACCATAGATTTTCCCCATGAAATATCGGCTTTTCCTGCAGATTTTCCGATTTTTCCATGATTTTCCCTTAAACCAATCCAATGTTCGATGTGCAATTCCAATCGGATGGTGTTTTTCCCATGGTGTTTTCCGCATCAAAAGATGGTGCAGATGTTGAGATCGGAGCAGGCATGGATCTCTATGATGCTGGGACCACGAAGTTTCACACACGTGGATGCCTTAGAGCTGGAGTGCTGTACTATGCTGTACTGATTTCTTGGTGCACATGGCTGGGAACACTCACTTTCAAGATGGGGAATCTACTGCACCGAAAAAAAGAGGATGTTTAAAAAAAATAACATGTGCAACTGCTTGAGATTCTTCTGCTGCTGATTTCGTAAATCTTCGTGATGCCTTACAGATTTAGCAGTGTAACTTGATGCATCGGGATGCAAAATGTAGGCATATGAGAGAGACACGGTTTTGTTCGCAACGCAAGATCTTACACATACCACCACATACCCATAGTATCACATCCATTTTTGGTGTAGTACTTGCAAAACCATAGGACAACACCCCAAATGTCCCCAGATATTGGCCAGTTCAGGTGATGCGCTGGGATTATTGGGCTCCAAATGCGTCATGATCACTGGGAATGTGTTGGCCCCAGTGATACCACTCCAGCCATTGGAACTTCTAGGCTTTGGCAGATTTTCACTGTTCTTGTTTGGGAGTCAATGAGATATCAGCCAGTAACTTGTGGGAAAACCCTTTTATAAGGGGATCCACCGACATTCGTCATGGGCTGTGAATGGCTGTGATAAATGCGATTTCATACTCCTATTTTTTTTTATCCAACAAACAGTGTTTATCGCATGTTTCATCAAACAAATCATCAACACATTCTCTAGGATGACTATAAATATATCCAATAGATTCAATAGATCATGAATATTCATGAATCATATCATCATAATCTATTATCTATTTTCCTTTATTGAATTTATATCTATTCTAATATATCTATTGGATATAGATTCTACATATCATCATAGTCCTGGCCAAAGCCCATATGCCGCGAGGTTTCCGAGGAGACGTTGGGAAGCTTTGCTGCAGCCGAGTCGCCCAAGGAAGCGCAAGAGGCCGCTCCGTGGTTTCTTTTCGTCGCGGGCGATGAGGAGATGGTATGGGATTTGGTAGATGTATACATATACATATAAAATACATATTATATATCATTTATATGTCGATATATATCTAGGAATCTAGATATAAATATGTATAAATATGTATAATATGGATATATTATATTCTAAGGCAATGGGGATGATAGTTGAAATATTTAAACACCCCCTGTAGCTGGATCCCGAAGCTGTGTTTTATTGAACCATGGTTTCGTGGAAGGTCTGAATTCCGATCGTCTTCACGAACACTCATTTTGGTTTCTTCATTTCCCCATACCCCCTGATAATTTAACATAGCTTTTGAACATGGGAAAGGTTGATAGCTACAAGACATGGTGATTTTCCATGGCAAACTGTCAAAAATAGCCAGAGGCCACAACTTTACCCATATTTACCATCGTCAAACTCATTCCAGTTCTTCCCCATTTGTAAATTATCAGTACAAATCAATCATCATCAAACATCATCAATCATCATCAATCATCATCATTTTCCGAGACTTTCCCACAGCTTCCCACATTTTGGGATCCCCCAAAAAAACACTCAGCATGCTTCAGGTCCTGACCGAAGCTGGAGCAGGTCTGCAACACTTTGGCAATCTCTCAGCTGTGGCCTGAACCCCAGAAAATATCAATCAAACGTGGTTGGAAAATCACCAAAAAGAATGGAGCTTTGCTGGGAAAATCCATTGAATAAATGGGATATTCCACTATCAATGAAGGTTTGAATGGATTTTTTTAATGGGAAAATCCAGTCTATTCCAGTATATTCCACTATCAATGGAAGGTTGAATGGGATTTTTTCCTCGAACGAAATAGTGGATTTTTCGACCACGCTTGATGACTCAGAGGGTATGTCGGCAAATATGGTCAGAAAGCCCATTTCTGTGAGATGAATCCATGTTGACCATGCTGACTTTTTGGACATTTTTGACCTCACAAACGACCTCTTTTTTTTTGTGCACGTGGTGGACATTTGGAAGATACCCTGGAGCTACTGAAAAACACCAGCCAATGGGATGTTATCCTAAAATCGATGGCTGATGTGAAGTCCCCCAGTCATATGGTAACTGCATAGGTACCCTCTGGTAATTTAACATACCTATGGAACATCAACATCTTTAATGGGTAAATCAACTATTTCGACTGGGCCATTTTCAGTAGCAAACTGTTGACATAACCAGGTTGGCTAAATCCCGTTCAAATCCCATTAAAATCACCATAAAAATGTTGGTTAAAGCTCATTAAAGCACCATTTTTCACCCCAACATGGTGCTGACCCATCCCCAGCTGTCCCCAGACCATCGATGATCAGGTCCCTGACTACAAAATCGCACGGAGACACCGTGGTCGAAAGGCAGCGCATGATCTTCTGGACATCACACTGGTGGATGAGGCGGGGGTTTCCCGAGCCGAAACATCAAGATAGATATTATATATTATATATTATATATTATACATTATATATTATATATTATATATTATATATTATATATATACATGTACTCCTCATATATAGAATTTTCAAGGGATATATGATATCATTGAAAAGTGAATCTTTTGTTTTATATAATATATATATACGGTAACCCCCCAGGAAATATTTGTTTCCTATCTTTTTCTTGTCGTCCACCCATCGTGGGTGCTTTTTTTTTTTCCAGGTCAAAGGTGGTGAGGGGAAGTACCTCTTCGAGCCGGATCCAGACACTCAGCTTCAACCAGCTGGATCTGAGAAATTTCACAGGTTTCTGTCAAAACCTATGGCATAAGGTAAATTCAGAGTTTTCCAACTGGAACATCTCAATTTTTAATAGGGAAATATGGTAAATCAACTATTGAGGGTACCATGGTTGGGGGGATAATGAAGCTGCAAAAATCCCAGCTGTTTTGCTGTGAACACGTTTGAGTTTCAGTGTGCCATGATTGCCAAACGTGTTGCAAGATCCCTGCCAGGAATCTCCAAACGGCAGGCAGAGAACTCAGTGCTTCAGGTCCTCATCACCAGATCCATCATACCTGGTATCCATGGGTCCATTTCATCCGTGTGTCTATCATCGATCCAGTGGAAGATGAAAGGACTACCCTCTGGTTATGACTAACAGGGCTAGCCATGGTTTGTTGATGGCCCATTGATTTATAGATGGTTTACCTGGGTTTACCTATTAAAAATGGTGATTTTCCATGGCAAACTGTTAGTCATAACCAGATGCGACAACTTTTCACATCTTTTCACGACTCGAGTCTGTCACGATTCTCAGGGCCTTGAACATGGACAACTGGCGCACGGGAGATCCCAACTTCGAACGAGTTCAGAACCAAGGGGACATATTCATCAGATCACAGGTTTAAAACGGCATCAGCGTAAGTAAGAGCCTGTGGTTTACTACAGAAATACACAGAAAGACATGAGAGTCCATATGTCATACATGTCATATATCATATCAAAGTGTTCCGAAAATCTTTACTCATCCCCAAGTCTGTGCTTGCAGGTTGTGTATGTGCCGTTTGTTCCCGATATGATCGCACGTGTGGATGCAGACCGGGCAGGTAGCACGGTGCGGCACTCAAGCGTGGGAAGAACATTGCCCGTTCCAATTTTTTTGACCCCACATGGGAGTGTGGTGATTTTCAAGACACTCACTTTAAATTGCTGATATTTCGTGAATACCCTCTGGTAAAGTAACGAAAACTATGGAAAATCCAGCCATTTTCAAGCTGGGTCAATCCACTAAAAATCGACTGGGCCATGGCTTCAATAGCTATCTGTTATAGATGACCAGTGAGGTCTACTTCAAACTGTCGGATGATTACCTGGAGGTGCTTCAAGTGATGGTGGTGGTGCTGTTGGTGGTGCTTAGAAAACATTGCTGGTTGGTGGTGACTGGAATATTTGGATTATGACTTTCCACATATTGGGAATCTCATCATCCCAACTGACGAAGTCATATTTTTCAGAGGGGTAGGTACACCACCAACCAGACTGTATTGATGATTGTTATTGTTCTGGTTGTTGTTATTGTTCTGATGATGAGGATGAGGATGATCATGATGATCATGGTGATCATGATGATGGCGATGACGTTGGCAACCAGGAAAACCCTAGCAGTTGCGTAGGTTTTTTAAACGCGGCAAACCGCTGCCAGAAAACCTCGTTCTCCTGCCGGAAGCGGATCGTGGATGAACGAGGGCTACTGGTGATTCCTCGTGGGCCTTATGTCCGGATCACAATCGCATTGGATGAGATTGTCCTATCCCACAGCCACATTGATCAGCTGCACCAGCAAAAAAAGATGTGTCCAATTTCCTGGAAATTCCTTCCAGCTGCAGAAATTTGAGATTGAGATGTCCCACTTTTTTTCAGTTTTATTTTCCCACATGTTTCCCATTTTTCTAGAGATTTTCTATGATTTTCCCATATTTTTTCGTTGAAAAAGTGGCCACAGCTGACCTGCCGAGGTCAAGGCCCTCCTTCCCCCGGAGGGCAAATCCCACGCGCTGCGGCGCCGCGACGGCAAGCGCTTGCCGCTGCACGGCACAGCGCCTGCGGCGCCGGAGGATATGCCGCAACCTGCGGGACAGGCCCAAGTGATGGTTGGATTACAGAAATCTTGGGTAACTATAGGGGATTATTATTAAAAAAATATAAAATAAATGTTAACTATAGGGGATTATTATAAAATTTATAAAATAAATGAATTAGATTAAAACTAAATCTAGTGTATCCAAGTATTATAGTGGCAGTAATAAATCGCCAACCTTGGGGTGGTTCTAGTTGGGTTCTTGGGGCTTCTTGCAACAAACAACAGTATAGTCTATAATATATTGGGAATGATACGAGCTAGTTTTTTTTTGGGGGGGAGTTGTACTACCAAGTGACGATTGGAATGAAAAGCAGGGTATGTGAGCAGTGGCTGCTAAAGCCTGGTTGGTTGATGTTTAGTTTGGGGATTGACTAACTATGACTAACTAACATACTGAAGATCAATGCGAGTTTTCGAAAAATCATGAAAAACCCATACTGGGAATCCTATCATCCTGGGTTAATCTAAATCAATCAGTCGTCATGCCCGAGGACTGAGTTTTCTTGTCCAGCTAACTTGACCGTGGTAAAAGGTACATGATGCCAATATTAACCATAAATGGCAATCTATTGTGGATGGTTGCAAACTGGAAAGTTGATGAAAGTTGTACATTGCTTGGATATTCATAAATTTAAATCCAGGTGTGATAATATCACAGAAAATCTCTTCCGCATCTTTTTTGGATCTGCGCATCAGGCCTACCCAGAGACCAGCCCGGGCGTGCCGGAGCCACCTCTTCACAGGTGTGAAGCCTGGTGGACCATGGTGGACCTGGGGATCTCCTGACCTCCATGGGGAAGCCCACCATGGCTGTCTCCGTTTCTCCGTGCAGGCCCTTTGGTGGCCTCGATCGCTTGAACAGCTCCAAGAACAAGATCAAACGCTTCTTCAAGGCGCCGAAATTTAAGGTTGAACAAAGTCTGGGTCTGGAATCCCATGGAATCCCATGGAATCCCTAATCTTTCCCAACCTTTAGGAATCCCTAATCTGTAGGTGAAGAGGTGAGCCATTTTTTTTTGAGTTACTGAGACATACACCATCATACACCCCTAACTTTTTTTTTGGTGACTAGTGAGGAAGTCTGGTGTCTTCAGTGATGGCCCCCTCATTTTGTTGATCAATGCAGGAATCTCAACAAGTCGTCACTCCCATCGACATGCGTGACGATGATGCGCCATCGGGAAGCGAGAAGTGAGGTCCAGACAAGGTGGGCAGTTTGCCTATGTTTGCCTGATGTGGCGGTGTGGAAAACACGTGGAAATACCCAAATCCATCCAAATCCATCCAGATCCTCCATAGAAAATGGTGAATTTTCGGCAAAACCAGCATTTGAGGATCCATTTTTTCCTGTTTTTTATGTGGTGGCCCTGGTAGCCAAAGGGCCAAGAGTCCCAGTGTCGCTGATCTTTCCGTTCGATTTCACCCCAGATGGAAGAAGTTTTGCACCGAGCTGCCGGAAATGCGGAGAAAAAAGAGCCGGAAATCTGAGAGGAATGGATTTGGATACTCTACCAGAATCTACCAGATAGGTTCTCTCAGGGTTAGCATGGCACCAAATTTTGAGACCATTTCCATTCGGTAGTTTCGAGGATTTGCTATTTAGTCCCTAACTTGACTGTCTTTCTTCGAACACTTTGCACGGGCTTTGAGAGAGAACTCGCAGCACTCTCCAAAACTGAAACAGTTCAAATCGCTCTTTACTCGTAGGAATCCCCACCCAGACAGGTTCTTTTTCGATTTTCCTACAATTGCTACAGGTTGCGTACATCATGTCCATTTTCTATCATTTTCTACATGCGCACCTGCAGCTTACATCTTGAGCCTTGCTGAAGGCATATGCAAAATATGCGAGATATGCGAGAAAGAGAAAGAACATGGCATCAGTGCAGAAAAAAACATGAAAAAACCAATGTACAGCTGTTCACAACAGGGAAAAAACAGGTTCGTTTTCCCCTCTTAGCAGCACCGGCCAACACTTATGGTTTCAAATGTTCTTTGAGGAAACCGCGCAAAGCCATGGTGCAAATTGTCACAGTATTTAGCTTGCAGGCAGGTTTGCGCCAGAATTTTGACGACGGGTTGGAGCTTTTTCCAACTGGATGCATGTTGTGGAAAACACGGATTGACTTAGGAGTGGAACGAACGTCGGGTATCACAAGAAGTTGGATGGATGTGTTGGAAAAAAGCACTAGATCTGATCTGTTTGTTGAGAGATTCAGTCTTATCCTGCACTTGTGCAAAGTTGCGGCCGCACCGCGCACTGCAGATGAACTTACCTTGACATTCCCGAAGATGGAGGCATAGACAAAGACGAAAGTCCCTGGCAATTGAGGGAACCTGTTCAGTGTGTGCATGTGCTTGTTCCAAACAAATACGGCATATGGATTGCATATGGTCGTTTCCTTGGGAACCCACACAAATTATGAGTACACCACCATTTCCAGACCATTTCTGGCGACAAAGCAATGATGTTGAAATTCAAAGCTTTGTTCATGGTTGCTTTGAGGGTGGTGAATTCTATGAATTTCTGCATGTCCAGTTAGACTTGGATGTGCTATCAAAAATGGTCAGACGGAAAACCGAACCACACAGTTTTTGGATAGTTCTCGCATCAAGAATTTCAATGGGGTACCCGATAATACCCCATAGCTGCCATAGCTATTTTGAATTACCAGAGAGTATGTGATTTTACCTATGCCTCTCCAGTTGTTCTTGGTGAACTATCAGATTTTCTGCGGAAAAACCCAGTTCTTTGCCTATCACCCCAGCGAGGCCAAGAAACGTGGAGGCTTTTCGGTGGTCTCAGACCGAGCTGCATCTGATCTAGAAGCTTTCGAGCTGCTTGGCCGAATTTTTTCGCAGCCGCAGCACGTTTTGATGAGCGACATTGTGATTGATTGATCCAAATAGAGGTGAAGAATTACAAGGTTACATACATCATCATGCATCCCATCATATCCCATTTTAGTGGATTGAAGTATGATGAAATATGATGAAATATGGGGGTATCCCATTTAAATCCCATTTAATTAATAGGTTTTAGTAAATTGAAACATTGGGGTATGAAAAATCAAAACAATTTCCAATCCCCCAGATGCCCCTTTTCATGAACTCAGAGTGACCTTTTTGTCAGGTGGAACTCAACGATGGATCTGTTGGCATGCCTCACTGCGGATGACTCAGAGAAGCGATTTGTGGCATAAAACTGGAGACCCCAAGCGTGGCTGGATCATCCCGAAGTCAGAAAATTAGAGATTCTCGATATCCACCAAGAATTTGATTTGCTGTGTGATTTTGATCCAAAAAGCTGCTGATATCTGCTGGATATACTGGTAGCAGTTTTAGATCTTGAGGCTGCGCCTGATTCCACAATGAGTGCGCCATTGACTGTTCCGATCTGAAGATTTTGCTTGAAGCAAAGGGAATCTGGTTGGTGGTTTCAAACATTTGGATTATTTTCCATTTCATAAAAAAGGGATGTCATCCTTCCCATTGACGAACTCCATCATTTTTCAAGATGGTTATTGCACCACCAACCAGGAATTCTTGACCCCCAAACTGGGAACCAACGATTCAATTTTTCGGTGTCTCGCAGGTATCTATCGACTTCTTTCTGAAGATCAGAGTTCGATCCCTTGACGTATCTTTGAAGCTGGAAGTCAAAGTGCTTCAGAGGTGTCATAGTGCCGATAGATGCCGATAGTCAATGCTGTCTCAAACTGATCTTTTGGTGCGAAATCCACGGAAACACAGCAATCTCGAAGGGTAAAAGACCTACCAAAGGTATCCTTCGAAAATCCCTTTCGAAAAAGACAGCCAGGGAAGGAAACATAAGGAAACTTTGGAACATCTCCAATTCTAGTTCTTGATATCTATAGACAAATCATCGCCCATTGCGAAGTCTTCAATTTCTGGAGAGTAGTGACATCTCCAAGGTCCAAAGCTCCTTTCCGAGAAGATCACAGGAGTCAGCACCTCAGCTGTTTTTCATTCCATCAGCTGTGACTTTGGGTTGGGGTTGATATGAAAGTATGATGATATTTAAGAGTGGGACAATATCCATCAACCAAATATACATGTTACATGTTTTTAAAAACACTAAACATATCAGATTGGGCATGATGCTTGGTTTCTTGCCAACAACTGCATTTTCTAAACATATCAGATTGGGCATGATGCTTGGTTTCTTGCCAACAACTGCATTTTTTCAAACAAAAAAAAGCACCGTTTGCGGCGGTTGCCCCAACTTTTGAGCGGTACCAATGTTGCTAACTGCTAACCATCATTTACGTAAGCAATTCTCTGAGTAGGAGGCCAATATGTACTGGTAGTAGATGATGCAGAACATTGCTAAGTCGGAGCAGAACATTGGCCAGTTTAATTTCATTTCAGGATTGCAAGTCCTAACAAGAATAATTTATGGTTGGTGAAATATACCAAGATTGATCATGTTATTAACCTGGTATATCTCGTATTAATACCATAATTAATATGTATATCTGGTTGGTGATTATATACCAATTATATTATGAATCCTTAATTAATAATACCATTAAAAATATAATTATATATCTGATTAATACCATAATGTACCATGATTAATATGTAGATCTGGTTGGTGATTATATACCAGTTATCACAATATTATCTCAGATCAATTATCACCACATTATCACCATTATAGACCAATTATACCAATTATTAATACCTGGCATAAATAATCACGAAAGGTAGCTCCAGAGGGGCTACCTTGAGTTTTACTTTACGAAGTAAAGGGGAGGGCGGCCAGCCCCGTTACCTGATTCTTCAGGAGATTGCTAGTCATTTTAGTACCCCCCCCCCACCCCTCCACACCTCCCACGCACCCTAAGAGCAGACTCAAAACATTGTAATTTACAGTATTTTTGTTCTTTTCGGATCAAGAAACCACATTTTGCTACATGGTGAAACCTCCGTAAATACCAGTGTTTTTGCTAGGTGCTGGCCAAAAACACTGTAAATACCGTGCTTTTTACTACCAGAGGCAAAAAACATCGTAAATACCGTGGTTTTGGGCTTCCGACCCGCCAAAAACATCGGTATTTACGGTGTTTTTTGCTCCGAGAGTTGCAAAAACACGCGAAAACACCACCGATTTGACGATTTTCGGCCACTACGGAACCGAGCAAAAACGCTGCAGGGGTAACACCAACACCAACAACAACACCAACAGCAACAGCAACAACAACAACAACGACGACAACAACAACAACAACAACAACAACACCAACAACAACACCAACAGCAACAACGCACAACGCACAACGCACAATGCACAACAATGCACAACGCACAACGCACAACGCACAACGCACACAACAACACAAAACACACACACACACACACACACACAACACACACACAACACACAACACACACACACAACACACAACAACACACAACAACACACACACACACAACACACACACAACAAGCAACACACACACACACACAACAACACACAACAACACACCACAACACACAACAACACACAACAACAACCAACACACAACAACGCAACAACGCAACAACAACACACACAACACAACAACACAAACAACACACAACAACACACACACACACCACAACAACACAACACACAACAACACACAACAACACACAACAACACACAACACACACACAACAACACACAACAACACACAACAACAACACACACAACACACAACAACACACAACAACACACAACACATTCTTTCAACATTCTTTCAACAACAACACACAACAAAACACAACAACACACAACAACACACAACAACACACAACAACACACAACAACACACAACAACACACAACAACACACACACAACAACACTCAACAACACACAACAACACACAACAACACACAACAACAACAACAACATCATCATCAACAACAACAACAACACCATCAACAGCAGCAGCAGCAACAACAGCAACAGCAACAGCAACAACAACAACAACAACACGAACACGAACAATACCAACACCAACAACACGACCAACAACACCAACACCGCCAACAAACCCAACCACACCAACAACACTAACAACACTAACAACACCAGAAACACTACCACCACCAACACCAACAACACCAATACCAACAACACCAACAACACCAACACCACCAGCACCACCAACACCACCAACACCACAACCACCACCAACCCCAACCACATCGCCGAATCCTTTCAGTCGCTTTTACCAGACTCCCCTTCATATTTTTGGAAAGAAAATGGCCGCGTCGCTTTTACCAGACTCCACTTTATGTATTTTTCCCTCCCCTCTCCCCTTCATTTTTTCTTCGGTTCCTTTCTTGCTTACCTACCTTTCGTGTTCCCCCTCTCAAGTACTAATTAAATTATTATGATAATACGTGGTATACTACCTGGTATATATAAATATACCAATTAGCAATACCAATTATTATATTTTTTTTATAATTGATATTATCCACAATTATACCATAAGTACATAATAGTATATATATATCCATATTAATATAATAATTTGGTATAATTGGTATTATCCTGGATTATACCAATTATGGTATTTGGAGACACTTTCCGCAGATCCCATCGCAGGTGGGAAGCTCTCTAGCTTGGTCACCCTGTGGTCGTCGTGTGGCTGTAGGCTGCGAAAAAACCCTGGGAGATTCAATGCTTGGGATGGTGTTTTTCAATGGTTTTTTTGTCCTGTTTTGTGATGTTTTATCCACCTTGTATCTATATTTTATCCATGATTTACCTCTGTTATCCAATTTCAATGGTGATTTACCTATTAAAAATGTATGGTGATTTAGTGGGAACCACTGTTTTATTACATTTTTTTATTCGTTTTTCGTACTCTCGGGCCCGCCACTTTTCAAGGTTTCCTAAACCGGTGGCTTTATGAAAGCGCTCATCCAGCAACCATGGGATTTGCATGTTCTGGATTGGCGCCATGCGTTGGAAAAGACGGGACTATGACTTGCAAACAAGGAAACTGCCATCCACTTCAACAGGATTCAGCTATAAGGTAGCCATAAGGTAGCCAGAAGGTTGTAGTTTTCTCTCAACAATACAGCAAAATAATCCCATTCATATCAAAACATCCCTCAGAGGTGGGTCCCAAGTATGTGTAAATCCCTTATTCCTCGACCCTGGTCTAAAGAGGAATGGGACGAACAAAAAAAGGGGCTCATCCCAGTCCCAGTTCTTCCCAGTTCTTCCCCATGACTAAATCATCAATGATCATCAATCATCATCAATGATCATCAATGATCATCACAAAATCCCATAGATATCCCATAGATATGCCATAGACATCCTTTTTCTCGGCGGCGTTTTGACACAAAAAGCCAGGCGACAGGCTGGGAGGCATCACCCTCTTTGAGCGGTGCTTAGTTTTGTTCGCTCATCCCTGGCGCTTCTCTATGGGACAATGGCGATGATCAAAGATGGTGAACCAGTGAACCATAGAGATTCAACAAGACTTATTAGTTGACTATTTGTCGAGTTCAAGTTTTCGTGCTTCGCATTTTTTTGACCTTTTTGGTGCAATGAAAATTGTAGTGATCATCTTGAGAGAAACTCCGGCAAATCTGAAGTCTCTGAAGTTTCCTCTTGCAGACTATCAATGGTCAGAAAAGGTGGCAGATTTTTTTGATGTTTCGGACATGTGGGTAGGGCAACCTCCAAGTCATTGGCCCAAACTTCATATCTGTCCAGGGTTTGGGAGCCTCAGGATGGAGAAACGGGTTCGGTGCTGCATTCCCGTTTGGCACTTGGTGGCCTTAGACGTTGGTAGAGCAGCTTGAAATCGAGTAAAAACTGAGCATACGAAACATCCAGAACATAGTTGCTGTATCCCCACTTTGTTCAGGGCTGCTTGAAATCCCTGAGATACAAGGGGGATAAACATAGCATAACATAGCCATACATTGATGTAATTTTATCGATTTCCCACCCTTGTGGCTATCATTGCCATAATTCTTTGGAGCAACCAGCAGATGTTTGGTGAATCTTGCAGCATCCGCAGAAATTTCAGCCCAGCAGCCCAGGTCGATCACATTCTGCTCCTGTGACAGCCCTGTGTTGGGTGGATGGCCATTATGCCTACGAGGAACCTGCTTGGTAAGGATCCTAGGACCTAGGAATGTGGTGCAGTGTGCCAGTTGGGTGCCATGAGTTTGCTGTGCAAGTTGGATGTGGATGGGGCACTTGCTTCTTTGTTTCGGGTCAAAAGGGATATGTCCGAATTTCTTCAACTATGTTCGATCAATTGCTGACCAGATCGGTGAATTTGACATATTTTTACAGGTTTTCAGGTGAATTTTCAGCAGGTTGATATCCCAGTGCCTCTGGAAACCCAGATGGAAGCCCAGATCAGGTCGGGAATGCTGCCACCTCTTCTGACGGTACCAAGTCGAGCTCCTGGAGCCAGTCAACTCGCTTGGGAACTACTGGGAATCTTGCCATTTTTTCGACATTCGCAGCATCTCCAGACAAGTTGGATGTTTGGTCGCTCAGAACATCTCAGAACACTGAGCGCCTTGGAGCAAAGTTCCATGAAATTTGATGATTTGTTGGGCATCTCCATTGTTTTTGAAGCAGATGAATCAAGGTGCACCTAGCAACATGTTCGCGGAGCTGGAGCCTTACGACGCCATGAGACGAAGTGACGAGTGGCCGAGTAAATCCAGCGAGTTGGATCCTATTTGGCTACGCCATTGTGAGAGAACACACTTTGAACGTGGAGCTATACCAGGGCCCAAATGATCATACGAAATCATACCTTCAGGTGTTTGACCCATAAAATCGGAATTTCCGAACCCACTGGCTTTTTGCCATGTTTTTTGTGGACTCCCAAAATGCCCAAAATGGAGAAACAGTCAGTAATCAGGTAATCCCGTTACCAGTCGGTCATGCCGTTTTTCCGTCTGCGCGATGAGTTAAGGACACCATCCAGAGAGGATTTGAACTCTTCCAAGTTCAGCATCCTCGTGGGGTTTCTGAGTTTGAACGAAGGAGTTTGGTTTCTGGTTTCGTTTTTCCTAAGTCTTCATGATGTTTGGTAAATCCCAAAGGGGATTGGCGAAATCGATTCAGTTTGGTAAATCGATTTCCATCGGTTTGATGGTTCCACAGGTAGGTTTCCATCACTTTGGCCTGAAACATCTTGACACCACCAGCCAAAGTGTTTCGCTGGCCCCTTCTGTATCTTCTGTTCGGTTAATTCAGTCAACTCTGACACCTTAAGGCCTCGGTTGACGAAGTTGGGCATGTGGTTCTGGCTGCTGGCGGCACTTTTCCACTGCAGGACGCCAGTGGACGCAGTCGTCGGACCGGTGCTGTGGAGCGTTGTGCCGCGGTCAGCTTCGTCAGCTGCCAGGTGAAAGACATCTTTGAAGATCAGCATCAACTACAGCTGGATACTTATGATTTGGGAACCGGTGCTCTTGAATCTTGACATGTCTTGACATGTCTTGACATGTCTTGACATGCCTTGACATGGAAAGGCTGCATATCTTCAAACATCTACCGAATCTGGGATGAATTGATTCTATGGTTTCAATGGATCTTGATCTTAATCTGGTTGGTGCTTTGGAACCATGGAATTTTATGACTTCCCCAATAGTTGGGATGATGATCCAATCTGACGAAGTAACTCATATTTTTCAGAGGGCTAGGTAGGTATACCACCAACCGCTAACCAATCTTACCCTCTGGTAAACATAAACCATTTCGACTGGGCCATTTTTCATAGCTTTTTCATGCTTTTTCTATGTTTTACCAGAGGGTAAATCCCATTAAAATCACCATTTTTGTTGGTTTAACCCCATTCAACCACCATTAAACCACCACTAAACCACCATGAAAATGGCATAGATCTTCAGATTATGGACCGGCGTTCGAGGTCACGCTGTCGCAATCCCATGGCGCTGCACTTGTCTCCGGATCTTCGGTGTTTGGCGGTTCTGCTGGGGCCAGGATACAGCGAAACATCGGTTGCAGAGGTTGAAGATGGCAATCATCTAAAAAACATCTAAAAAGCATCTAAAAAACATGTCCTTTTCCCATCCTTTTCAACATTGACTTACGTAGTCTTGGTATGTAACCTACATGTTTCTGTGTGACTTTCAGAAACAGTCGCAGGATCACCCTCGATGGCTACGCCAGATGTCAGGACAATCTCTGCCTCGAGTTTCAATCATTTTGGTCGTGATTCTTCAAGTGCGGTCCCCCAAAAATATCCCAACATCGCACCCACAATGTGGGAGCCATATTGAATTTGGGTTTAGTCACTTGACATTTCTGTGATCTCAAAATGTCAAGAGAATTTGGGGAAAATCTGCGCGCTTCCGAGGAGCCCTCCATCACAAGCTTCGGTGAATTCACCGGAAGGCCACGGGACGACGGGATGGAAGGCCATTCACCCTGGCAGAATCAGATAACTCTCAGAGAACTAGTACCATTTTAACTTTGGTACCTAATCTCATATGATATAATATATACATATTTAAGGGCTGCCGCCCCTGCCGCCGACCCCGGTAAAGAATCGGGGATTGCTGGTGAAACAGGCAAGCTGTGTGACGAGAAATTTTGGCAAATGCATCATCACATGCAGGATCATGCACGAAGGGCTATGTGCGTAACTGGTGCAGCTTTCGGATCAATTGCAGTAAGGTGCTGGCTGCATGACGAGACAGTTGAATTAGAAGCTTACTCTGAACCCAACAACACATCTATGTGCATATGGGCCAAGAGACATAAGACCAAATTGCCAAAAGCTATCATGACAAGAAAGCTCCAGCTTAGTTGGTGCTATCTTAGAAACCATGCCGGCGCAGCTGCGGAGTGCAAGCGCAGTGCTGGAATGTTGGCTGGCCGGCAATCGTGTCAACACGTCCGTGTGCAATGTGCTGCAGGTGGTGTGGGGCAAAGAGATGGGGAAGGAAAGAGTATTCAGGGGTGGCTTGTTGGAATTGAAACTGGTGTCCTGGTAGGGATGTCAGAGAAGGTGTTGAACGGTGGCAGGTGGTGAAAGCAGCGGCGCGGAGGAATGATGCGGAGGCAGTGAAGATGGTGAGCGGCTTTGTGTTCAGGGACTTCGGCTGTGAGCAGCGACGGTTGGCAGCTGTGTCTAGGTGGCATATTATGGCGGTGGCTGATTTATAGGGTTTAGGGTTACTACTACTACTACTACTACTACTACTACTACTAGTACTACAACTACTACTACTACTAACTACTACTACTACTACTACTACTACTACTACTACTACTAGTACTAGTACTACTACTACTAGTACTAGTACTAGTACTAGTAATGACAATAATAACGACAACAACACTGCACTGCCTCCAACGACTTTTCGATCGGTGGGTCCATCCATGACTCACAGCAATGAACCTCTCCTATGGCTTTCCTACTTTCGAAACTTTTGTCACCGGCATGTGCGGTAGTACTGGACAGTATATATACAGCTGCACTACACCATATCAGATTTAGGAGTGAGGTAACCGTTGCAACCATTGCAAAGAACATAAGGCCAAGTAGGTGTCAGTCCATCAGTGGACCTGTGGGCCTTTTGCAAGGTACAGAGGACGGAATGGAAGGTTAGAACCTATGATTTCTTTTGTGACAATGGCTGTTAAGATATCGCAAGATTGTATGAATTGGTTTGGAAATGAGGCGATGATCATCTCGTTTATCCTCTATCGAATGTATGGTGTGCGGGCACCGTATGGGGCGGGCTTTGTGCGACGACTTGCTCAAGCGCGGAATCCTCTCCAGTGTTTGAACGAGAAGCTCCAAAATTGCACCCCGAAAATGCCGAACGTAACTTCTGAAACCCATAATAGTACTAGTATCAGACTTTTGCTGCTGCTGCTGCTGGCTCCCGGATGGAAAACACCATGGAAAAGCTCCTGCACAGACTTTTGCTGCTGCTGCTGCTGGCTTCCGGATGGAAAACACCATGGAAAAAATCACCTGCCGGCAGGAAAACACCATGCCTCTGAAGGACGGAGAAGCCCCAAAATTGCACCCTGAAAATGCCTAACGTAACTTCTGAAACCCATAATAGTAGTAGTATAGCTGTAGCTGCTGCTATGCATTTTGGCTACCTTTTCCTCCTGCTGCTGCACAGACTTTTGCTGCTGATGCTGCTGGCTCCCGGATGGAAAACACCATGGAAGAAATCACCTGCCGGCAGGAAAACACCGTGCCTCGGAAGGACGGAGAAGCCCCAAAATTGCACCCCGAAAATGCCTAACGTAACTTCTGAAACCCATAATATAGTAGTACTAGTATCAGACTTTTGCTGCTGCTGCTGCTGGCTCCCGGATGGAAAACACGGCAGGAAAACACCGTGCCTCTGAAGAACGGAGAAGCTCCAAAATTGCACCCCGAAAATGCCTAACGTAACTTCTGAAACCCATAATAGTAGTAGTATAGCTGTAGCTGCTGCACAGACTTTTGCTGCTGCTGTTGCTGGCTCCCGGATGGAAAACACCTTGGAAAAAATCACCTGCCGGCAGGAAAACACCATGCCTCTGAAGGACGGAGAAGCCCCAAAATTGCACCCCGAAAATGCCTAACGTCTGAAACCCATAATAGTAGTAGTATAGCTGTAGCTGCTGCTATGTATGCATTTTGGCTACCTTTTCCTCCTGCTGCTGCACAGACTTTTGCTGCTGCTGCTGCTGGCTCCCGGATGGAAAACACCATGAAAAAAATCACTTGCCGGCAGGAAAACACCATGCCTCTGAAGGACGGAGAAGCCCCAAAATTGCACCCCGAAAATGTTTAACGTAACTTCTGAAACCCATAATAGTAGTAGTATAGCTGTAGCTGCTGCTATGTATGCATTTTGGCTACCTTTTCCTCCTGCTGCTGCACAGACTTTTGCTGCTGCTGCTGCTGGCTCCCGGATGGCAGCAAAACACCATGCCTCCGAAGGACGGAGAAGCTCCAAAATTGCACCCCGAAAATGCCTAACGTAACTTCTGAAACCCATAATAGTACTAGTATCAGACTTTTGCTGCTGCTGCTGGCTCCCGGATGGAAAACACCATGGAAAAGCTCCTGCACAGACTTTTGCTGCTGCTGCTGCTGGCTTCCGGATGGAAAACACCATGGAAAAAATCACCTGCCGGCAGGAAAACACCATGCCTCTGAAGGACGGAGAAGCCCCAAAATTGCACCCTGAAAATGCCTAACGTAACTTCTGAAACCCATAATAGTAGTAGTATAGCTGTAGCTGCTGCTATGCATTTTGGCTACCTTTTCCTCCTGCTGCTGCACAGACTTTTGCTGCTGATGCTGCTGGCTCCCGGATGGAAAACACCATGGAAAAAATCACCTGCCGGCAGGAAAACACCGTGCCTCGGAAGGACGGAGAAGCCCCAAAATTGCACCCCGAAAATGCCTAGCGTAACTTCTGAAACCCATAATAGTACTAGTATAGCTGTAGCTGCTGCTATGCATTTTGGCTACCTTTTCCTCCTGCTGCTATGCATTTTGGCTACCTTTTCCTCCTGCTGCTGCACAGACTTTTGCTGCTGCTGCTGCTGGCTCCCGGATGGAAACCACCATGGAAAAAATCACCTGCCGGCAGGAAAACACCATGCCTCTGAAGGACGAAGAAGCTCCAAAATTGCACCCCGAAAATGCCTAACGTAACTTCTGAAACCCATAATATAGTAGTACTAGTATCAGACTTTTGCTGCTGCTGCTGCTGGCTCCCGGATGGAAAACACCATGGAAAAGCTCCTGCACAGACTTTTGCTGCTGCTGCTGCTGGCTTCCGGATGGAAAACACCATGGAAAAAATCACCTGCCGGCAGGAAAACACCATGCCTCTGAAGGACGGAGAAGCCCCAAAATTGCACCCTGAAAATGCCTAACGTAACTTCTGAAACCCATAATAGTAGTAGTATAGCTGTAGCTGCTGCTATGCATTTTGGCTACCTTTTCCTCCTGCTGCTGCACAGACTTTTGCTGCTGATGCTGCTGGCTCCCGGATGGAAAACACCATGGAAAAAATCACCTGCCGGCAGGAAAACACCGTGCCTCGGAAGGACGGAGAAGCCCCAAAATTGCACCCCGAAAATGCCTAACGTAACTTCTGAAACCCATAATAGTACTAGTATAGCTGTAGCTGCTGCTATGCATTTTGGCTACCTTTTCCTCCTGCTGCTATGCATTTTGGCTACCTTTTCCTCCTGCTGCTGCACAGACTTTTGCTGCTGCTGCTGCTGGCTCCCGGATGGAAAACACCATGGAAAAAATCACCTGCCGGCAGGAAAACACCATGCCTCTGAAGGACGGAGAAGCTCCAAAATTGCACCCCGAAAATGCCTAACGTAACTTCTGAAACCCATAATATAGTACTAGTATCAGACACGTAACTTCTGAAACCCATAATAGTAGTAGTATAGCTGTAGCTGCTGCTATGTATGCATTTTGGCTACCTTTTCCTCCTGCTGCTGCACAGACTTTTGCTGCTGCTGCTGCTGCTGGCTCCCGGATGGAAAACACCATGAAAAAAATCACCTGCCGGCAGGAAAACACCATGCCTCTGAAGGACGGAGAAGCCCCAAAATTGCACCCCGAAAATGCCTAACGTAACTTCTGAAACCCATAGAAAATGAATTTTGGCTACCTTTTCCTCCTGCTGCTGCAGACGCTTTTGCTGCTACTGGTGCCTGTTGGACTTACTGCTGCTGCCTGCTGCTGCCTGCTGCTGGCTGCTGGTGCTGCTGCTGGTGGCTGCTGCTGCTGCTGCTGTGGTGCTGCTGTGGTGCTGCTGTGGTGCTGCTGTTGTGCTACGGCACCTCCCGGCACCAAAACAGCAAGGCACGGAAGGACGAACAGGCCACAGAATCGCAGCGAAAAAGTGCCTAACGTGACTTCTGAAACCCTACTAGAACTGAAGACTGCTGCTGATGACAGAAGAGTACCAAAAGCACCTCCCGGCACCAAAACAGCAAGGCACGGAAGGACGAACAGGCCACAGAATCGCAGCGAAAAAGTGCCTAACGTGACTTCTGAAACCCTACTAGAACTGAAGACTTGAGGGAACTGATGAAGGATACTAGACGGCTGCTAACTCTACGGGAACTGAAGACCTGAGGGAATTGATGAGAGATACTAGACGGCTGCTGCCGTTGCTGCTGCTGCTGCTGCTGCTGCTGACAAAAAAGTACCAAAAGCACCTCCCGGCACCAAAACAGCAAGGCACGGAAGGACGACCAGGCCCCAGAATCGCACCGAAAAATTGCCTAACGTGACTTCTGGAACCCTTACTAGAACTCAAGACTTGTGGGAACTTATGAGTGAGAGATCCTAGACGGCTGCTGCCGTTGCTGCTGCCGCTGCTGCTGCCGCTGCTGACAGA